CTTTCATGTCCCAAACCCAGCACCTGCTGGTCTTTGCAGAACTGCCCTTGGGCTCCCGGAGTCCCATGTGCCCTCCCGGGACACCCCTCGGCCAGGAACCTTTGTCGCAGTATCTTCTTTGGGGAACCCAACCCAAGACGACTCCCCGCACACACTAGGGTGCCTGACACCGTGGGCACCCAAACATCTGCTGAACAAAGAGATGAACAAATGAATGAATGAATGAATCCCCGTCAGTGCCCAGCCAGTGCTCTGCACACAGGAGGTGTGTAATAAGTGCTTGCCGGAGGCTCAGCATCTGAGAGCTTCCGTCGCAGTCCCGGGCTCCGTAGAGAATGCCCTACACCCGTTTCTCTCCCGCCCTCACGGGGTCCCCAGAGATTCCCATTTCCCGCGGGCGACACTCGGCGCGGAGGGGTGAGGAGCTGCCGGGCGCCTCGCGACCTGGGCAGAGCGGGACTGGCACACGGCAGCCTGTCCCCCAGGCAGAGACCCTTCGTTACCTGCTAAGGGAGAACAAACCTCACGTGACCTGGTTTTCATTTCAGGGGTGTCACTCTTGCTCCCAAGACCCTCGGAGAGAGAGGGTTAAGACGCCTTTGAAAATCTGAGACTACTGAGGAAATGCCTCCCAGAGTAAGTCCAGACACACACACAACACAACTTCCAGGAGTCACAGGTCCCGGAGCCGGGCTGAGGACCACAGACGACGACTTTCCAATTTATAATCACTTCACTGAATTGAGGAGCCAGGGTGACCCGTGGCACCCCTTCGACGACAGCCTCTGAGCAATGTGTGTGCGCCGCTCGCCCCCCAGTGGCCGAGCCCGGGATTGCCCAGAAGCCCAGCACCGCAGCCAGACCAGGGTGGGGGTCAAGGACTCCACCCCCGGCGGGGGGAAAGGCCACCCACGATTTGAGCAGGGAAGAACCCTGTGACAGGTCTGCGTTTCAGAAAGACCCCTCAGGCCACCGCATGGAGAACGGACGGCTCGGGACACGCGTGGGAGCCGGGGGACCCGTGGACCAGAGTGGCAGAGCATCCAGGCGGAGACAGGACAGTGGCTGAAGCAGGACGGCCCTGGGCCCAGCACGGGGACACCACCCGCCGACCATTCACCGCGTGCTCCCCCATCTCAGCCGAGCCCCACGCAAAGGCGGCAGAGTAGGTCGGGGCCGCCCTGTTCTAAACATTAGAAAACGGGCTCCAGAGAGGTTGAGCGACCGTCCAGGGTCCCACAGCCAGTCAGCGGCAGGAGCAGGGGCCGCCTCTACCCGTCCACCGTGGTGTCCCGGTGCCCAGCACACAGGGAGCCGTGGATAAGTATTTACTGACGCAACGGACATCTGGGCGAGCCGAGGAATGCCAGGGAGCACCAGTGACCACATTCCAGTTTCCACCACGACCCCAGGTACCAGGTCCTCAGGGCTTTGGGCTATAGCAACCAGGACCTGCAACATTCTAGAACATTCTAGTATCACCCAGGGTACAAAGTGTCCCAGGAATCCTTAAGACAAGGGAAAGCATGAATGAGGAGTGATCTGGGGGCCTTCCTGGAGGAGGGGGCGTGGCAGGAACTGCACCTTTGCTGGTGGCCAGGACTGAGCAAGGCAGAGAGGAGGGAAACCATCCGCGCAGGGGTGACACTTGTCCCAGAGGCAGGGTGGGAAGAAGGCAGTCAAGACAGACAGGATCACAGGACAGTGCAGAGAACTCCAGGTACTAAGGCAGTTTCATGGTATCTGGAGGGACATCTTTAAGCTTTGATATAAATTTATTTTAAAGGACCCATAATTTGCCCATTGACCCATAATTTCACAGATACAGTTGCCTTTCTTTTAAAATAAGGTTTAAAAAGTGAGTCAAATCAAAGAAAAATATTAAGCAGTGGAGTCACGTTGAAGCCAGGGTTGGGGTCGGCGGTGAGGGCATGAGGAGTGTCCCCGACCAGACCTGCGCCTGAGCGTCCCTGGGAACCTGAGGAGTGGCCGTGGGTCCCCGAAGCCCATCCTTCCACCTCTGGGGCAGACGGTCTTTCCTCACTGAGCCCTGGATGGAGCAGTTGGCTGAGTTTAGGGACCGGGGTTGGACCAAAAAACACATCCATTTAAACCTTAGAAACTGCTCGGAAGTAAGACAGTCACACAATGAGATGTGTGAAGGACAAATTCCCTTGGGGAACAGGCGCACGCGCGCACACACACACACACACACACGCGCGCACGCGCGCGCACGCCTGTCTCTTGCTTCTTTTTTATGAGCAAGTGGAGCTGAATGCGAAAGTTCAAAGTGTCTGTGCTGGGGCTCGTGCCCAAGTATGTCACACAGCCTCAGTGGTCATCCAGTAACCGCAGCCGGGGAGGCCGGGCGCGCTTTCCAGAAGATCGAACACGGGGAATTTTAGGGGAACCATCTTCTAGGCCTGGATTCTCCCCTGAGCTTGTCCGTCACCTGTGGGTCCCCAAGTCCAGGCCACAGGGACGCCCCGATCCCCGAAGCCCGTGCCCAGCCCACCCCACCACGGGCAGGCAGAACCTTCCTGACCTCCAGCCCCCACCAGAGGGACACTCCCAAGGCACTGGTTTCAAGAACAAATCTAAAAATTGGGTAATAAATGTTTTTGCAAGTTGGTGGTTTCCACTTTGCTGCTTTCTACAAATTTGAAGAAAGGTCAAACGGACTTGTCAGCTGACAGATGAGTAAAAATGGTTTCCGACGACAGATCCCCGTGTGATTTTGGCACATTACCCAGGAGTAGGAGAATTCCACTCCCCGCTACTCATTTACGAAAACAAGGTTTCTCTGCACGCACATCCACAAAGAACCCACGACAAAGTTGGTCTCGTTCTAGCAGTAGCAACGGTCACTGGTGGATGCGGGAGTGAGCTGGGGTGGAGAGGAGCCCCACTCGTCTCGTTGCAAGACGTATTTCTAAGCAAATAAAAGCCGCAGTGAGGAGCCACCAGGAACGGCTAGAGTTGGTGACTCAGCAATCCCACACCTACGTGTGTGCCCGAGAGAAAGGAAATGCGTGTTCACACAAAGATCTGTACCTGGGTGTTCCAGCAGCTTTATTTATAATTGTCGAAAACTGCAGACACTCTGAATGTCCTTCATCTAGCGAAAGGCTAAAAATCTGTGGTCTGTGCACACACTGGATTCTACTCAGCAATAAGAAGAAACCAACTACTGCTACGTGCAATGGCGTGCACGGGCCTCCGAACACCTGAGCGACACGGCCAGCCTCAGAAGGCCACACAGCGTGCGATTCCACGTCTGACAGTCGGAAAAGGCATAACTGGCTGCTTGCCAGGGGCTGGGCACGGGGGGCGGGGGGGGCTTCGCTACAAAGGGGGAGAATGAGCAAGATTTGGCGAAACCATGAAATTATTCCAAATCTTGATCGTAGTGGTAGTTACTCGAATCCATACATGTGTTAAAACTCGGGGAACTGTAAACACACACGCACACCCGTAACGCTCTGAAAATTTTAAAATATATAAAATTCATATAAAAAGGACATGAACTCCAATAAAAGTTTACTTCTTTGATATGCAACATGAAGCACAGTGACCTTGGGAAAGAAAGGATAAGGAGAATGATTCCCTTGCTATAAAGTATATGGTTTGTAGGGAAATGTCCGTAGACATGGCTCGAAAAGGTCGTCT